TGCTGGCTGTAGCAGCGCTATAGCGCTGCTATAGCGCTGCACAGCAAAAACGCATAAAAATGAAAAGTGCAAATTTTCTGGAAAAATGCAATTTCCGGTTCACTAACCCAGGTTGGAACGCACCATGCGAGCCGATGCGATCATGCGTTTTTGCATCAACTTTGAAGTGCCGTCTCTTGTAGAGGGGGAATAGGAACGAAAAAAGTGGGTTCCACACTATGCCACCATTCGGCTGAGGACGGGGTTTAATCATTTGTGCGAATCGACGAATTAACGGCCTATCGCTATTCCACACATTGACCAAGACAACTTCAACTTTCTAGCTTTCGCAATTCTGGAGGTGAAGTGAACTAGTACACTCCCCATTTCCAACTACGCTGCATTTCGCTGTCTCCCTCCCCTCTGCCCCTCATCGCCGCTGCCCAGGTCAGGATACCAACAACGTTGGTGGGACCACCTTCGCGCCCCTCCCCCGCCTAATTTACCACCATTATTAGCAAGTGATGTGAATTCAAATTTGCCGTGCGCCATCGGGTTGTCGTGCGCCATTGGGTTGCGCCGCGTTTGTAACGTAATCTCACTTATGCCTTACACACGCTTGCTGAGTGGTTGCGCGTAGAATGTGCGGGGGCGATGTGTGGTGGTGTACGGCGTCTGTGCGTAGCACAGTGCGCCGTACGTGTGTAGGGGGCTACGCGTGCTTTGAATGGGGACTGTGTGTGGTGTGCACACCAGCTGCAATTGTTGTGTACGACGGCTGCGTGTGGGTGTGTGAGACATGATTGGTACCACACAGCATAATCGATTCATTGTACTTCTATTTGGCGGCTGTAGAGTATTTCATTTTGCTAGCAAATTCACTAGAGAGGATCTGGGAAATCTCTGGATTTACGTGAGAAAAACGTGTGTTGTTTTATCACAAACGTGTTGTTGTTGTTGTGTTGTTGTTGTTGTTGTTGTTTTTGTTGTTGTTGTTGCTGCTGCTGCTGCTGCTGCTGCTGCTGCTGTTGCTGCTGCTGCCGCTGCTGCTGCTGTTGCTGCTGCTGCTGCTGCTGCCGCTGCTGCTGCTGCTGCTGCTGCTGCTGCTGCTGCTTTTTTCGTTTTCCTTCGTGTATCATTTAAATTAATGAGCGCTAATGAGTGCACAAGTTAAATGTAAAGCAAAAGCATTCGCGACGTGAACGACCCAGTCATTTCAAGTTTAATGCAAAAAACCCAAGCGAGAACGCGCACCAGGCGGGCCGGAGCGATTATGCGTTTTTGCACTTTCGTACCGTAGCAAGATCGCAAGGAGTAAGTGTAGCTACCAGGCGGGCCGGGTGCGATTATGCGTTTTTGCACTTCTCGTGCCGTAGCAAGATCGCAAGGAATCGCAGTAGCTAACCCTGTGACGTACTGGCACTCGATGTACTGGTGTAGACTTCAGTGACCCAGCAAATGGAAAGGCGCTGGTCCGCAAAAAAGGCCACGCTAGAAGAGTTAAATTTGAAATCTTTTAGCCGCACATAAGTAGGGAACACTCCCTTAAAATTCAAGCCTTCAGCTTATCTTGTTACCGAATTGGCAGTTTTCCCACCAAAATTTTCACGTGCCCGTACGTGATTACCGGACGGTTTTAAGGAGCTGAATTTAAAATCTTCTGCTCGTACATGAGTAAGGAACATTATCCTAAAGTTTCAGCCTTCTAGCTTTTTTCGTTCCCGAGTTAGTGATTTTCGCGCCAAAATTCCCATGTGCCTGTACGTGGGCCCCGGCTTCTAAGCACCTGATTTTGCTCGTACATGAGTGGGGAACATTCCCTTAAAGTTTCAGCTTTCTAGTTCTTCCCGCTCCCGGGTTAGTAATTTTCGCGCCAAAATCCACGCGCTCGTATGTGGGCTCGGGCGCTTCTAAACACCTGATTTTGCTCGTACATGAGTAGGGAACGTTCCCCTAAAGTTTCAGCTTTCTAGCTCCTCACGTTCTCGGGTTAGTGATTCTCGCGCTAAAATTTCCACGCGCTCGTATGTAGGCCCCGAGCACTCCTAAACGCCTGAATTTGCTCGTACATGAGTAGAGAACATTTCCTTAAACTTTCAGCCTTCTAGCTCTTGCCGTTCCGGGGTTAGTAATTTTCGCGCCAAAATTTCCACGCGCTTGTATGTGGGCCACGGGTTTTCCTAAACAACTGATTTTGCTCGTACATGAGTAGGGAACATTACCCCAAAGTTTCAGCTTCCTAGCTTATTCCGTTCCTGGGTTAGTAATTTTCGCGCCAAAATTTCCATGCGCCCGCACGTGGATCCCAGGCGTTTTTGATCGCCTGATTTTGGTCGTATATGTGTAGGAAACATTTTCCTAAAGTTTCAGCTTTCTAGCCTTTCGCGTCCCCGAGTTAGCAATTTTCGAGCCAAAAATTTCGCGTGCCTGTACGTGAGCTCCGGGGTGTCCTAAGGGGCTGAGTTTGAAAACCTTTGGCCGCACATGAG